TTATTCTAAGAAAATCAGATTTTAGACCCAGGAATTGTGGCCTGGAGATGAGAAGCATGAGTTAAATGATGCTCTGTTGTCCAGATGAGTAATTTCAGAGCCACTTGACACTTTCAGTGGAAGTTAGGCCTACGTGTGTGAATATAAGTTGACACTGCTATAGATGACTTCCATTTCTGAAAGTCCTTTTGACTCTTGCTCTTTCCTTTTCAATGTTACTGCTGTTGTTATTTAGTCTGGCTTTTATTGGATCTTGTACTTGCAATTGGTCAGTGTGCTTTCTTTCAACGCTGAGGAAAAAAAAATGTTTAGCACACTGAAAACCTGGTGTGGTTTTGCTAGCAAATTTGGCTAATGGAAAGACCTGAGAGACCTGTTTGTGCGTTCGCACAACTGGAGAGCCAGCTCCCAGTGTGGGTTCTTCACGTTAGCTGCGGCTAGAATTACTGTTGATGTCTTAAATACTAACCAGGTTTTATTTGGCCATTTCCCTTTTGACAATGTGGGGAAAAAATAGTGTCCTACATAAACCAAAAAGCTAGTACTTATACTTACTTTCCTCCTGTCTCTCCAACATAGACAGAGTAGGAAGAGATGAGCTGTTTGGGAGCAAATGCCTTGGTCAATTTTGCGGGAGAGAGGATGAGGTTAGCCTGCACTTAAACATTTAGCTTGGCTTCCATGGCCTTGTGCTTGGTGAACCTCACCGGTCCTAATTTACTGGGTAGTTTGTGGGGAAAAGCTGGCTAGCGGTTCCTCCCTGTTTTATTACGAGGTGTAGTTCATAAAAGCTGTGGCCTTCAGCTTAACCATGTTCTTGTGTGGAAAGTCTTGTTCACTGCAGCATCTGGGCCAGACACATTTACATCACTGTAATCAAAAAGCATTTAATGCAGTTATTCCTTAAATGACCTTAGACTAGCAAGAAGCAAAACAGAAGAATGTCCTTCTTCCCAAGGCAAGGATTTCCAACTTGAGTAGGAACTGGTTTTTTTACACATATTAAAAACAAATGATTATTTACCATTTCCAGTCAGTCGTAGCTGTAGAGTGTAGCTAGCTGCATTAATGACGGTCTGACTCAGTAATCAAACAGCACAAAAAAAAGAAAGGTGATCTGGTAAAGACATTAGACATGATACTAATGAAAAAGAAATAGCTCATTTTATTTGTAAATCTCAAATGTGATGAAAAGTAATAGCTGTTTTCTCCTTTGACTGGCAAATGCTGAGTGGCAAGACTAACATAAGAGATCACAAGTACAGATTTTTATTAATGTACAGTTCACATTTTTGAGAACTGTAGAACTGAGAGAGAAGTTCTCTTTTCAAGAAACGCTTGTCTCATTCAAACAGATAAAATGGTAATTTTTACTTTGAAGAAGAGGAGGATCTGTGGTTCCCAACTGCAGAGATTTGAAACAGAGACATTAATATTCATATGAATGAAATATGAAAGGCAATATTTTCTGTAATCTTTCTGTAATCTTCTGTAATATTTCTGTTTCTGTAATCATGAGAAGAAAAGGGAGAGCAAAGGTTAAAGGAATGGCTTGTGTTGATAGCAGAGGACCCAGTTCTCAATCAGTCAAATTGAGAAATGTATTGTTTCCATCAAGCACTGAAGCCCCCAGTACAGATGACTCTGAGTTCCTCAGAACATAAGGATAGCAAAAATGTTGCAGAGTCTGTCAGTCCAGAGTTTGATGTCATTCAGCTTGATTAGCACATATTGCTGGCAGATCTTGAGAGAAACATGCAACACAGAGGGAAAGAAAGCACAAATGTTTGATTCCTATAGGTAATTCCTATGTAGGTAGTGATTTTTGTCTTGTTTGTATATACTTGTGTTCAGGAGAGAAGACAGGAACTGGTGGAGTCAATCACTTCCACCTAGATGAAAAAGATAGTAGTGGTCTAATCAATCCTATCTTAACTTATCCTATCTTAAAGGTTCTCAGTTGAAAGTGAAACTTGTGTAAGACTAAGTTTAAGCCTTTTGAAATTCGGTTTGATTTTCCCAAAAACCTTCCATGGACTCCTGAAAAGTCCATGCAATATTCAAAAATATGAAACATTCAACTGATGTCAGATTAAGAACCATAAAGTTATGGAATTGAGAAGAAATATGGATCCCCCCTCTCTGTACCTTTAGCTGACTAAACTCAGCTCTTTCAACATTTTCAAGATTATCAATGACATTTCTTCAGGAATAAATTGGTATCAAGCATATAGAATATAAAATGAAAAAAAAAAAAAAAAGACAATTACAAAAGGTTAAACGGCAACCAAACTCCAAATGTTTATTTTCTGTGTCATTTTGTGATGTAGGTATTTTTAAGTGAAAGCTCTATTCAAGGATTTAGGATGATATATCTTCTTAGTATTCTAAAAATGGAGAGGAGCTTCCAAATATGGGCATAGTGCCAGTGATGAAAAAGAAAGAATACTTTTGACTGAAGTGTGATCAGTTTGTTAATTTGGTGCTTTTCACTGGACTTCATGTTTTCCTTTTTACCTTCAAAATACTAGGCAAACAGTAACATTTCTATTTGGAAATCTCCCTTGGGAGAACATGCTGTTAATGACAATCTGTAGCCACTTCATATAAAATTGATACAAAACAGTGCTAATGAGCTTGTGCAGAACTGAAATAATAATCATAAAGATCTGTAGCTTGACTGCCCACCCCAAAATAATAAGTGAATAAAGGAAGGATAAAGGAATATAACGTTAATGAATGATTTTTATTATTTGCTTTATTTTATTTTATTTTATTTTATTTTATTTTATTTTATTTTATTTTATTTTATTTTATTTTATTTTAATTGAAGGTTGTTATTGCTCTAATATTCCCAAGCAAATTGATCTTCTAGATTGATTTTTAATATGAGATTTAAAAGAAATGGTACATGGCTGCCTTCTGTGTAGTTGATAGGCATCAGGAGGCATTGGAGGGCTGAGCTGTGTGACTCTCTAGTCTCTTGGATTAGTTTTGATTGCGATTTCTGGTCATTAATAAATATGCCTCTTCAATCATATCAAGCACTCTTTATATTGACAATGTTGTGTCTTAATATATAAACACCTATGAAAATGGATGAGAACTGTCATTATAAGTCTGCAAATACTGATTTTGAGATGGATCAGTTCTTTCTATAGCACTCCGTTGCTTAGATAATTTGTTTAGAAAGCTCAGCAGATTTCTGCAGGGAAAAAAGAATGAACTAATAACAAAATTAAGTTTGGGAGTGTGTATTATAACGCAGACATTTCTTTTTCGTACTGGATCACAAGCACACACCGACGCTGTCCTGCCTGACCTTCACTTTGCACCTCTCTCACCCTTCCTCCCGCCACCCTCCACGCTTGTGCCCAGGTATTTGGGGGAATTTTTATTCCTCGGGGATTTTTAGGCTGCCCCTTTCCCGCCTCCCGCCGCTGAGGGGAGCGGGGGCGCCGTCCTCCCCGCGCAACGGCCGCCGCGCGCGTCCCAACCGCCTTAAAGGGGCCGCTGCGGCCGGGACGGGGGTCTTCCTTCATAAATGACGGAAATTTAATTGGGAAACTCGAAATTCATCTTTTTTTTTTTTTTTTTTTTTCCCTTCCCTTTTTGAGGCGATGGAGGCAGAATCATCATAAGTAGAAATTTGCTGTTTCCTTTAATATTGTGAATGATTTGTCTGATGTGGCTCTGCCCAGATGGAGGATGTGGATGTTTTAAATGTGTAGTGCTAATTGTGCCTGATTGTAACAGTCCTGCACTTCAGGAATCTCGAAGGAAAATTCAGCCCGTTCCAGCGCCTCCTCCTTTCAGGAGCAGCTGCCTGAGCCCTGCTCATGGGCGGATCTCGCTGAAGTGCTCGGGTAGTAGGAGCCGCAGTACAATTAGGCTGGAAGTTGTTGGAGATGGAAAAGGGCTGATGAGTAAATGTTTTAGCTCATCGTGACGCGTAAGGAAAATGTCCAAGAGATGCCTCTGGCTGGTTTTCCATTAGGAATTAACATCTCTCTCTCTCTCTTTTTTTTTTTTTTTTCCCCTTCTTTCTTGCGGACTGTTACTGGAAAAGCATTTGGCCTCCCTTCTGCAAACACTTGTATACATAAGTAGCTTTTTGGAGTACGGAATATTCTTGAGCCCATTGAGGACTGAGTAAAATTGTGTGTTTGTCAGACTGGAAACTACTGACATAGTTTCCAAGGAGGAAAACCTGGCTGGGAGAGGAATGATTTCTGTTCAGATGTTATACATGAGTTGAATTGAATATCCTTATTTTGATGTTGCATCCATTAAAGCACATATTTACTTACAGTACCTTTAGCACCATCTTTTCTTCAAGTTGTCATGTAAACCATGCCTGAAGAACTGCTTTCTTACCCATGTTGTATTAGAAGGATATGTCCAATGGGGCCTTGCAGAGATCTGGTACTACTGGATATTCTTACTCATGACTTTCATCTGATGAGTACAAGTATCAAAGCTGCAGATAAAACCAACCTGAGAGTAATTTCACGGACTTTGAAGGATGGTAAATAAATAAATAAAATTAAAGTAATATATAAAATAATATTGACAAATTGGATAAATGATTGGGAGGGGAATAGGATGAAAATAAATGGGGACTCTAGAGTTAAATAGGAATAAAACCTTAGGAGTATGTAAAGTGCTGATAACAGTTCTGGAGAAGAGGATTCTGCAAAAGAGTTTATTTTATTTTAAATGAGGAACAGTGTGAGTCAGCAATGTGATATGGTGAGGAGAGCAAACATCACAGGGGATGCACACGCAGGAGCCCCGTGTGCACGGTGTCGTGCTTCCCCTCTGTGCCGTGCCCATGGGCCTCTGCCACGGCACTGTATGCAGCTCTCGGCACAGCGCCTCGGGAAAGGAGAAAGGGGCCAAAGGAAAGCAACAAGGATCACCAGAAGCCTAGAAAAGACAGCTCGCAGAAAGGTTGAAAGAAGAGCTGTTTAGTCTGCTGGAGAAGGCTGAGTGAAGACATGCTGACACTGTTCAAGTATGTGAAAGGCTGCTGTAAAGAGGAGCTTGTAGACTGCTATCTATGGTCACTGCACGTAATAAAGTAAGTTTTAAATCCAGTTGTGGTACTTAGAAAGGGTTTCTTTGTAAGCATAGAGAAACTCTTTAGTAGATTGCCTGGGAAAAATGTGAAGACTATGTGGTGGCCCTCAGGAGATGTCTGGTTCCCGAGAAAGTTGGAACTGTGACTAACTTTGGCAAAAGGGCCAAGAGCCTGGGCTGGACGTGGCTCTGGGCTCAGCCTTGCCCTGCCAGCAGGTCCCTTTGCCTGCAAGCAGTGGGGGCAGCAGAACTGGGGGCGCTGGAAGAGAGTGAGACCTCGCAAGGAACGGTCAGGGATTGACACCAACGCAGTTGTCTCTGCATGGCAGTGTGGGGGGAACTTTGCTTCTAGGTAGCAACCCCAATTTGGTCTCAGTCCACTGCTTTTCAGCTAACTTCCTTGCGAAGAACTTCCTGTAGCTCCTCACAAACAAAAACCGTCCAAGGCTGTGTGGCGATTTGCTAGAGCAAGGCTGTGAGAGAGAGCGCGATTAGATTAATGCAGGATTTTGTGATACTGTATGAACTATTCAACCAAAACTGTGTAGACTACGAGACTATACAGATCGCTTGAGAGAACATGTGGACCCTCGCTTGGTAGGAAGAATTCCATTAATCCAGGAGTAATAATCTCTTGGGAAAAGGCTTTTCATTACTCCTCATGACAGGCAGCAGGTAAACAGCCCCGAGCAGCCTCCAGGCTTCCAGCCCTGCCTGCGCCAGGCCGCCGATCCGAGCGAACAGGAGGCTCTCCCTTGCTGCTCCAGCCCTTTCCCCGCGCGCTCCGGTCCACGCGAGCCCTGGGGGCCGCCGGGGGGACACGACCCGCTCCCTCTCGGCGGCCCCGTCCCCGCCCCACCCAAGGGGGCGGAGCCAGGATATGGAGGCGTGGCCTACAACTTGTCCACGCCCCCCCGGCGGACCGGAGATCGAGGCCACGCCCCGGCACCGCGTCCCCTCGCCAGACCTCTGACCTCTGCGTTGCTTGGTTACCGCGCGGGGCGTCAATCGGGGGCTCGACCAGCGCCGCTCGCGTTGGCGAGCCGGACTAAACCATTGGCCCGTCCGCCGCGGGGGTGGCGCGCGTAGCGCGCCCCTCGTGTGCTCGCGGAGCCGCGCTGGGCTCGTAGCTCGAGCGCCCCTCTCCCCTCCATCCGCCTTGGTTTCGCCTCGCGCGGGCCTTAGCGACAGGAAGATGGCGGCCCCGGCCTGCGCGGC